ACGGTCTGCAGAGCTGTGTGCGCGTCAGGCTGTAGCCCCTCCAGGGTCCGCCAGCACTGCTGGTGGGACCTCCGCCGCTGTGGGTGGGCAGGGCAGGGCAGGGCAGCCAGTGGGTCTGCGTGGAGGCAGCTGGCAGGCCCTCGGACGCAGCAGCCCAGGGAGGCAGGGAGGGCCCTCCGGGCCTGCGGTGGCCTGGGCTGTGACTCCCGCCCTGTGCCCCAGTGACCCCGGTGTTCGCCAGCGTGCCGCGCGACCTGACGGTGGAGGTGGGCACCAACGTGCAGCTTCCCTGCAGCTCCCAGGGCGAGCCCGAGCCGACCATCACCTGGAACAAGGTGAGGCCCACATTGCCACTGGGTGGGGCCTGGCCGCCCCCGGAGCACTCAGGCCACAGGCCAAGCCTCTCCATGGCAACCTCCCTGAGAAGGCCGGGGCCCACTGGGACACGCCCTCAGTTCATCTTCAGCACCAGAAGCCCAGACCGTGCTGTGTGGTCAGATGCACCCTCGCCCTGGGGACGAGGGCCCTGCCTGTCCACTTCCTGCTGTTCTTGTCCGCCTCTCCTCCCTGCTCCTGGCACCCGTGGGCATGAGCTGCTTCCCAGGCGGTTGGGCCTCGGGGCGACAAGGCCTCCTGCTCCCTCCCCAGTTCCACCTCTCCTCCCTCCATACCTGAGTGTCTGCCTGCTCCTGCCTGGCCTGGACGAGATCTGTCCACTCAGTCTCTGAGCGCTCTCGTGTTTCAGCTCTGACGGTCCCTCGGGCCCTCCCATGTGGTCCAAGAGCCCCACCCACAGCACACACCCCCTACCCAGAACCATCTCGGGCCCCGCGCTCTGTCTGTACAGAGCAAACGTGTGAGAAGTGCAGCCGCGCACCAGGCGCCGGGAGGAGGATTGCACCTGTCCTGTGTGCTGGGTCTCAGTGCAGCCTCGGCGGGACCTGCTCCAGGCTCCGACTGGGCCCTGGACCCTCCGCCGGCTCAGTTTCCTGGCCATCCCTTGTCTGACTGCAGGACGGGGTCCAGGTGACGGAAAGTGGGAAATTCCACATCAGCCCCGAAGGGTTCCTGACCATCAACGACGTGGGCAGTGCAGACGCGGGGCGGTACGAGTGTGTGGCCCGCAGCTCCATCGGCTACGCTGCCGTCAGCATGGTGCTCAGCGTGGACGGTGAGGGTGGGAACCTTGGGCTGGCGTGAGCCGCTCCTCCAGGCTAGGGGAGGAGGCCGAAGGGTCGGCCCCTGACAGGCATGCGAGGGACGGGGGTGTGAGAGTGTATGGTATGTGCAGGGTATGCCTTGTGCACATGTGTATGGTTAGTGCAGAACACACTGTGTACAGTGTGTATGGTGTGTGCAGGGCACGCCGTGTGCTGCGTGTGTATAGTGCATGCAGGTTGTGCCGCGTGTGCTGCGTGTGTATGGTGCATGCAGGGCACATGTAGGGTGTGCTGTGTGTGTGTGTGTGGTGTGTGCAGGGTGTGCCATGTGCGTGTGTATGGTGTGTGTAGGGTGTGTCGTGTGTGCGTGTGTATGTGCACGTAGGGTGTGCCGTGTATGTGTGTACATGTGCATGCAGGGTGTGCCGGTTGCGTGTGTATAGTGTGTGTAGGGCGCGTCGTGTGTGCGTGTGTATGGTGTGTGTAGGGCGCGTCATGTGTGCGTGTGTATGGTGTGTGTAGGGCGCGCCTCATGTGCATGTGTATGGTGTGTGCAGGGTGCACAGTGTGCGTGTGTATGATGTGTGCAGGGTGTGCTGTGTGCGTGTATATGGTGCGTGCAGGGCGTGCTGCGTACGTGTGTATATGGTGCGTGTAGGGTGTGCTGGGTGTGTGTGTATGGTGTGTGCAGGGTGTGCCACATGTGCATGTGTATGGTGTGTGCAGGGCACGCCGTGTGTGTGTATGGCACATGTAGTTGTGGCTGTGTGTGTGTATATGGTGCGTGCAAGGTGTGCCACATGTGCATGTATATGGTGTGTACAGGGCGTGCCGTGTGTGTGTGTATGGTGCATGTAGGGCGTGGCTGTGTGTGTGTGTGTGTGTATGGTGCATGCAGGGTGTGCCATGTGCGTGTATGGTGCATGCAGGGTGTGCCGTGTGTGTGGTGTGTGTACGTGTGTATAGTGTGCACGGAGCAGTGTGTCCTGCAGGTTTTGTGTGGGTGAGGAGGGTGGTCCCTAACATTGACAGGTGGTGTCCACAGCTCGGCCCCGTGGGTGACCCCATGGGCATGTGCAGAGTGTGAGGAGCTTGTCTGTCAGGAGGGCAGTGAGTGACCCCAGGTGGCCTTTCATGGAAGAGCCTAGAGTGGCAGGAATCCAGGCATCCCCACAGTATCCTCTGTCCTTGGGCTTTCCTGTGTGCTGTCCCTGTTGGCAAGGACTGCCCCATGGACCAGCCACGTGGCATGGGGCAGCGTCGTGCTCCGCCGTGGAAGCTGGGCCAGCCGCAAGGTCCAGGTTCATGACTGAGGTCCCCCTCTGCATGTTGGGCACCTCACAGGCCTGTGACCCTGGCTGGCAGAGGCTGGGGTGCAGTGCAGCTTGGAAACCTGTGGAGACGTGCCCCCGCTCTTCTCCCCTCCCTTGCCCGCCCCCTCCCCTCCTCTCGGGGTCTCAGGGCAGAGGCGAATCAGTAAAAAAGTCCCTGTCGGGTGTCTGCACGGCCTGACCGACGTTGCCCAGGGCAGCGCAATTTTAGAAGGTCAGACCTGTGCCGTCCCCCTGAGCGGTGTGAGGGTCTGCCATCATCCAGCTTTGTCCGAGCTAGGAAGCACGACTGGTGGGCCTGCCCTCCTGCCGTGACGCAGCGCCGAGACGTGTTTTCATGAGCATCTGCTGCCGGTAACTGGCCCCGTGTTTCTAGTTCCGGATGTCAGTCGGAATGGGGACCCGTTTGTGGCTACCTCTATCGTTGAAGCCATCGCGACCGTGGACAGAGCCATAAACTCCACGCGGACACACCTGTTTGACAGGTACCGGGCGACGCAGAGTCCGCGCTCATCTCCGGGGCCCAGAGTGGCTGGCGCTCCCCCCCCAGCCCCGCCTGCCGTGGGGAGAGGAATCTTAATTGGCACCTTGTAAACAGCAGAGGCATCTGCCTTCCGGGGCTAAGGGAGAGGACGAGTGTTTCCAACAGAATCTGATGCAGGATTCGCGCCAAAGCGTTTTTTAAAATTTCAACTCATTACCTGGGCTACTTACCATATAATTTGGCAAAAACAAAGAATTTGAAAAGTCATTAGGGGGCTGGCTTGTGGTGGCAGCCCCAGAGCCGCGTCTGAGCTCCACCGAAATGCGGTGTGTGTGGTTCTCCCTGTCGACCTAACCAACCATTTATTCTCCGTGTCTCGGTTTTGTGTTTCCTGCCTCCCACTGGGACCAGCAAGGTATGGCGCCCGGGCGTGGACGCACACAGAGTGGGGCGTAGTTCTGGGCACCAGCAGCCTCGCGCTCACCTCACCAGTTCCCTCTCCTTTCTCCCCGGCAGCCGTCCCCGCTCTCCAAATGACCTGCTGGCCCTGTTCCGGTACCCACGGGACCCATACACGGTGGAGCAGGCGCGAGCAGGCGAGATCTTCGAGCGGACCCTGCAGCTCATCCAGGAGCACGTGCGGCACGGCCTGATGGTCGACCTGAATGGGACGGGTCAGTGCCCCTGTGTCCCTGGGCTGGACGTCACCAGTCACATCCGTCCTGGGAGAAGTCCCAGCACGCTCCCCGGTCGGTGACAATGCAGTCGCCTCCCCCAGTAGGTCCTGTGGGCTGACACTGGCCAGCTGTCTCTGCCCTGGAGGGGCGTGGAGGGGTATGTGGGCCATAGCAGGCCTGTGTGTGCCACTCAGCTGTGACAGGGCAGGCCGAAGGATGACAGTGGGGTTGGGACGCCGTGTCTGCCGTGGGTGAGGCCGTGGCCTGCGAGGGCAGAGCAGCAGCTGTGTGGCATGTGGGCAGGACCGTGGTGCTGGCCCTGCCCAGACGGGCTGCCATCCTTCCGCCTGGCGGCTTCGAGGGGAGGGCTCCTCAGCGGCAGCAGACCCTCACTGACTGCTCTGCCCGTGTGCATGTGTGCACGGTGCTGGGCAGTGGCTGTAGCCCTCTGCTTTGGGGAGCTGCTCTGGGGCTGCAGTGTCTTTGGTGGGCACAGCCATGTGCTGGGCTTGAGGTTGCTCAGGCCTGCAAGGTGCCGCTTAGCAGAGCGCGGGCGTGCAGGAGGGTCACATCAGGGTCACGGGTCAGTTCTTACGGCCGGGCGTGGCCACTTTGAGCCTGTCGCCGCCTGTTTTGGAGCGAAGTGGCCAGGTCGGGCAAGGCCCACAGGAGTGTGTACCAAGGGGCTCTGCTGCCCGCGTCCTCGGACGCACCTGGCCTCGCAGACGAGTCGTCCATGTTGGAGACCCGACGGCCCTGCATTTCTGTTAGGATGGAACTCGCTGTAAGGGATGAATGACAGAAGGCATGTTGGCAGGGACCATGGGCCAGGCACTGGCTGAGCCAACGGCACAGGATATGTGGCAGCCTGGTGTGTACCAAGGGGCTCTGCTGCCCGCGTCCTCGGACGCACCTGGCCTCGCAGACGAGTCGTCCATGTTGGAGACCCGACGGCCCTGCATTTCTGTTAGGATGGAACTCGCTGTAAGGGATGAATGACAGAAGGCATGTTGGCAGGGACCATGGGCCAGGCACTGGCTGAGCCAACGGCACAGGATATGTGGCAGCCTGCAGCTGGCCCCGTGCAGCTGCCCGAGGCCTCTGGCCCCCCGGGCCCCGG